CCTACACAAAACCTCCCCACAATGTAGTATGGTTTTATATCCAACAGCATTTTAAATAAAGTTGTAATTTTCAGGCAGATTTTCATAAAAATTATTTTCTAGGTGCACAGAACTGAACCAAGATGCATACAAAAATGCATTCACTTCCATCCTCAGGTGGAACTGTGCCATCAGCAACATGATATCCTGGGTTACTGTGAGAGGTCCAAGGATGGTGGTATTCTCATATATAATTTAAAAACAAAACAAAAACAAAATAGCAAAAAAAACCCCCATTTCTTAAGCAGCAAGAGAAAAGAACTGCCATGCTTTATTTGTAAAGTAATCAAAATAGTTAGATGTATAAAAAAGCACCATGTACAGAGAATACCAGAGGAAGATCCATCTTCCTAGTTACACATTTCTCATTTAGCATTGTGAGCTGGCCTGCAGGTCCCAACTTGTACTGTAGCTTTCTTTGCAAAGTTAAGGAAGGGGTCAAACGTAGAATATGCTTGGACCATATGACAGAAATTAAACTGGATTGCAGACAGAAATTAGATTTGTTTCCATTACAACTCATACCAACCACCTTATAGCCCTCAGGGGTCAAAAAACCCATGCACCAAGTATCTAATAATGGGATGAAAACAGCTCCAGAGCAGTATTGCAAGATGCAGCTCTGTTACAAATGCATTTCTGTGAGCTCTTGATAAGTTAAACCTTCCTTTGGGAAAAGAGCACATCTGTTGGTTAAAACTCCTCTCCCTGAGAATTTTGATAAGAGTTTGTCCTGCAAAGCAAAACAAAGTTCTTTGAACTTCAACAGTTCCTAGGCCAACAGCATTTCAACGTGGTCACAGCTGATCTGCTACTTATGCACCCAGGGTGGCAGGTTGGGTTTTTGTTGCATTTTGTGGGTTGTTTTTCTTTACAAGGACCAACCCTTTATACTCGCTTCATTCCTCTGCCCATCAAGCAAGCAAACACCGTCATGACCATCTTGGGTTTCACCTCCACAAGATCTTCTGGAAGAGCATAAACTCTGGCACCAATTCTTCTTGCCATGGACACAGCATACCTAGTCACCACAGAAAGATGAGTGGGTCAGCACTGAGACTGCTACCAGGAAATAACAAGTCACCTCCTGCCCTTTCCAACACAATTTCACCTCTTGCCCTCTTTATTAAGAGTCAAGATGTGCAACAATCACACCACATCTGTTTGGTTTATACATTTTTTCTTGATCTTCAGCTGTTTTGCTTTTCCACAGTATGGAAAGTGTCCTCGATGCACAAATTGACCTTAGAATGTCAAGTCCACTTTACCAACAGTTAAAAAGAATTGTAATGAATATTTGTTAGGGCTAATAGATAGCACGTCTAACCAATGATTCACCAGCCAACACATTCCCCCTTCTATTTCTTCTTTAGGAACAATCAAGCAAGACTAGTTATCTGCAAGAAAATTTGCTGTCACTCTGTCATTGCAGAGCACTTGCAGAATACACTTCTCAAAGGCATGTTCTACTAGGGGTGCTTTAAATTTGACAACCTGTGATGATTCAGCAAGAAATGAGACATAAAATGATTCCGTTTCAAAACCCTGAGCACTCCATATGCCTGAGCAAACGGGTGAGAAACAGAATATAATTGCTGAAAACTGCTTGGGCTGCTCTGCCCGTCTCTCAACAAGCAAGAGAGTCCAGCCAACTACTCCCTCCAGCGGTACAAGCAAGGACAGCAACCAGATTTCAGGAAGTGCTGCCTGTCTACAAGGTACAGTGTTCAAACCTGAAAACCACGGTAATAAACTGTGGTAAGAACACTTGCAGCATAAGGCCAGCATGCAGAAGATGCAATCTTTCGATTCAAGTGGTGTCCAGTTCTGGAGCCCTCAACACAAGAGGGACATGGACCTGTTGGAACAAGTCCAGAGAAGGGCTAGAAAAATTCTCAGAGGGCTGGAACACCTCTCCTATGAAGACAGGCTGAAAGAGCTGGAATTGTTCAGCCTGGAGAGGAGAAGACTCTGGAGAGACCTTAAAGAACCTTTCAGTACCTGAAGGGGCTACAGAAAAGCTGGGAAGTGGCTTTTTACAAGGACATGGGAGTAATAGGATGAGGGGCAATGCCCTTAAACTAGAGCAGGGTAGATTTAGATTGGGTATCAGGCAGAAATTATTCACTATGAGGGTGGTGAAGCCCTGGAACAGGTTTCCCAGAGAGGTGGTGGAGGCCCTAACCCTGAAGATATTCAAGATCAGGCTTGATGGGGCTCTGATCAACCTGATCTAGTTAAAAAGGTCCCTGCTCACTGCAGGGAGGGCTGGACTAGACGACCTTTCAATGTCCCTTCCAACCCCACACATTCTGTGAAAAAAGCTTTTGAGATAGCAAACTTACTTAGCATTATTCTGTTTGTCATCTTCTGACAGGTGACCAGTCTTTACCAGGTCATAGTTGATACAACCAGGCTGAATAGCATCAATTAAATCCACAACTGCCAGGCTTGTGCTGATAGTCTTGTCCTAGAGAACACAGAACAGACAAGTAAAGATGAAGCTTTAAAGGATACTTCTCACCTCCCTTCAGCTGCTCTGCAACATGCAACAAAACAGGCTTTAAACAAGAAATTTAATAGCTGCAGTGTTAGTGGTTATTCCCAGCTGGACCACAGGGAAAACCAAACTGCTGCTTCTCCTTTGATAATACTACAAGATGATTGCTCAAATTTACTGCACATACTTTGAAAATATGAAGCAGTGCAGGCAGCAGAACTACCCCACTGACCAGTTCCCGAGGGATAATGCTCACTAGCTCCAGCCCCTATGCTTGCTAGCATCTCAGCCCCCACTTCTTCCCCAAAACCCAACCACCCTCCCCTCCTCTGCTACCCCATCAACTCCACTGCTATCCCCCCATCATGGGCAGTCCTAAGAAGTCTCCTTTCTGGAAGCCTGAAGCCACTTTGTTTCCAGCAGAAACTGAATCCTGTCCTGTTTAAACTCCTTTCTAAGATGTCCCTCCTGTTTCTCCAGCCAAGGAAATCCTTTTGGGGCATCCCTTCTCCTTTTGCATGCAAGAGGGGAACCTGCACCTTGAAGTTCTGGATGGAGGTGGACTTGCCAGCTTCTTTCAGGGTCTGATTTACCCAGCTGACTATAATGTCATCATTAGCTTTTTGACCATCACCCAGGTCCTCGAGGACATTCAACGTGTACCTGAGAATCAGCAAAAAGAATAAGATTAGGCACAGACTTTGGGCAAAGTCCTGGTGCAGCCAGGATGCAACATGGGCCCATGGCAGCTTGGAAAACACTCATAGTCTCAGCTCTACTTCTTTTGTGGTTTTGTTTGGGTTTTGTTGGGGTTTTTTTTTAACTCCTTTAGCAAAAAGGAAGAATTATCTACCTTCTCTTAAGTGTGATTTCTGTTAAAGCATTTAGTCTTTCTAGCCTTTCAAGCCCTTTAATATCAGATAACAAAACTGCCTGAACTCAGGACCCTTGTTAAATTGTTTCACTATTGACCACTTGCTCCACAAGGTTAACACATCACCTAAAAGGTGTGGATCAGCTCCTGCACTAGAGGCTTCCTGACCTCTAATGCCAAAAAAAGGAGCTACCAGGCACCTATTTTGCAGATACATGTTATATATAGTTGCATCATCTTAGAATTCTTCAGAAATAGATGACAAAATGTACCCTCAACTTTATCTGTTACAAAGTTTCTCCTTCCCCCCAGTCCAAGGCAGAAGAGGGTCATAAAGCAACCCTGGAATGGTTCTCTTTCAATTTCTAATTAAAAATTAGAACATAGGAGTTGTGTTAATGTTCCTGCATGTGGACCAGACTTGAGCAGGTGAGAGAGAGGTGATTCTGCTCAGCAGGATGTTCACAAATCCAGCAGTGGCTTCTCTGGAGGTCTCTGCTCCAGCTTCCCATGTGTGGCAGGATCAGCTCAGCCAGGGTTTTGTCCAGCTGTGTCTCAGAAACCCCTGAACAACAGAGGTTTCACACTCATTCTGGATGACCTATTCCAGTGCTGCAGTGTTCTCATGACAAATACAACTTCCCAAATTCTGTACTTCATTCACAAATGTGACATATTTGAGCTGGGTCCTACCTTCTCATCAGCTGCCAGACTAAGGCTAGTGTCAGCGTTGGGTTCCCATCATTCAGATCCTGTCCTCCAATGCCAACCAGGGAGAACTTAGCTGGATGCTTTCCCAAGTCTACAGCATAGTTACAATTTTCTA